GCTGGGGCCCGACACAGCTCTGCCCCTTCCCCCACCCCCTAGTCACTCCGTCCCAGCGCTGGGGCCCGACACAGCTCTGCCCCTTCCCCCACCCCAGTCACCCCGTCCCAGCGCTGGGGCCTGACACAGCTCTGCCCCTTCCCCCACCCCCCAGTCACCCCGTCCCAGCGCTGGGCCTGACACAGCTCTGCCTCTGGGTGGAGTGTTAAGGGGTCTGCTCTCAGGTGGGCTGAGTTCAGCAGGGGGATTGTGGAGGGAGCCCGGAGTCTGCAATGGCAGATTCTCAGTGCTGCAGGGTCCAAGGCTTGGCAGGTGTGAGACCCCAGGAGGGGATCACACTAATGAATTGTGAGCCGCTGGCAGGACCCTATACAGACCCCCCGGTGGAGGTGCTGCCTCTCATCTGAAGGGTGTTAGAGCACTTTGTAACACCTGCCTCATTGGAGTGTGTCCCCCATTTGATCACTAGGAGACTGAGGCACTGGGGGGAAGGGACTTGCCAGATTATCCGTCGGTGGCAGTGGAGAGGATAAATCCCAGGCTTCCTCCGTCCAAGTCCTGTGTGTCAATCCCAAGTACCCCTGTCCTCTCCCTCAGTCCCCTGTGCTCTTTGTCGTGTACAGGAGCCTCGTTCAATTCCTGTTCTGAGCTGTGCCTGGTTAAACAGCTGCCAGGCTCCCCTGCCGGTGGCTGCATTTCAGTGGTGATTTCTGTTGTAGCCAGAGCGCCAGCTCTCATTTAGGTTGCCTGAGCCTTTCTGTTGCAAGCCCCCAGTTTTGGGTTGCCATAGCATAACTCTGAAACATCCATCTCTCGGCTTGTGAGGGCCCAGGTCTTGGCCCAGGAGCTTTTTGAGAATTTGAATCAAAGCCCGTTCAGATTTGGAGGCCGTGTGAGAATCTGCCTGCTGCTGAAGTCCAGAGAGCTCTGGGACTGATCAGTGGAAATCGCCCTCTGCGTGCGCAGTTTGGGAGCTTTCTAAGTGCTGGCAAGCTGCACTGAGCCACAAACTCAGCTCATAGAGTCTCCCGAATTAGGCCATGTTGGGGGAAAACAGAGACCCTCTTGGTCTTCCATTCCTCCTTACCTGAGAGCTTCTCCCTCAATAATCCTCTGCGCTTCCCAGTTTAAATGAGGCCTCACCCCTCTTCCCCCCCGTAGAGGGGTGGGTGAGCCTGTCCCGTGGAAAGCTTGTGGTAGGATCAGGAACAGAACCCAGCTCTCTGGGATTTCAGAGCACTAGACCACAGCACCTGATAGGTGGACCTGGCTCTGCCTGCCCGTGCAGCTGCTCCTGGTTCCCCGCTAGTTGAGTACCTTCCGATTGGCAGCTGCAGAAGGGCCAGGCAGGTACCAGGCATTGGCACGGGAGAGTGAAGGCGCAGGCAGCAGGAGGGGCTGTGGCTGTGGTTGGAGTGACTTGGTCTCTAGTCTTGGCTCTTACGCTATCGCTCTGAGTTCTGCAGCCCTGTTGACCTCACCCGTCACTCACCTCGTGTGCTCTGCTGGTGCCCTCCAGCCCAGCCATTCGGTGCAGGGACTTTCTTCTCTTTCAAATAACCCAGGGCTCCTTCATCCTGCAAGGCCCTGTCCAACAGGAAATGATCCAAGCCAGCTCGTTATCTGACACCAGGCACCTGGCCTTGGAGAGAGCCCCTCTCCCCAGAGGGGTCCCTGTGGCTGAGGAGTGCCCCTGGGAAGGGGCAGAGTGGTTGAGCTTGCCCTGCTAGCTGCTGGAACCTGGGCTTAACCAGAGAGGGTCAGTGCCCGACTGCTCCAAAGCTGGGGAGTGGTGCCCTGTCACCCCCACTCTTGTGGGCAGCAAGACCGCTTTGGGTGGGAGAGATGAATGGTGAGCTGAGCTGCACGTCACTGACATCTGGCCCTCCTCTCTTTGGCCAGGTGAGCTTCCAGCGCTGGTGGGCTTGGAGGTCTCAGCCCACCCTGAAGGGGGATTGGCAGCTGCCATGCCCAGGAGGAAGCCTGTCCGAAGCCGAAAATCTAAAAGGAAACCGCCTGCCCGCAAGTGTCCAGCCCGGGCGGAAGCTGAGGGGCATGGGGCGGGGACCTCAGAGAATGGGCCCACCTCGCCCGTGAAAGTGCCAAAGAAACGAGGCCGTAAGTCCAAAGCAGAGCTGCTCCTGCTGAAGCTGTCGCAGGGTCTGGACTGCCAAGCGCCGGAGCCTATCTGTGTGCAGAAGATACTGGGGAGCAACGAGGCACCTGACGGCTTGGAGGCCACGCCCAGTGGGCGCCCCAAGA